CCATTTGCATATTAGCATTAGCATAGTTTGTCACTTAAATACTCATTGTTTCTGCTAAGTAAAAAGTTAGTTTTGCTTTATTTGTTTCATAGAATGGTTAATTTTGTATTTATTGGTTCTTTTGTTATGTTGTGCCTCCCTCATGTGGTAGACTTGGGTTACTACATCCCTTTTTAAGAAGCCTTTAGTTCTTTGTTTGCAGGTCAGTTTTTTTGTTTGAGTTGGATCCTCAGTTGACCTCAGTTAAGTTGGGCCCAGATCCTTGTTATTTATTATTTAAGTTATTTTGTATTGCTTTGAGCCTTTGTTAACCATTTTTGACACAATTAAATGAAAGCACTTTTTTAAATTTTGAACACCTTTTGTCCTTATTTAAAGGAAAATTCCGGTTTTTAACACTTTTAGCCCATTTTCTGTAGTGTCCAGGATGAAATCGAATCATTGACACCAAAATTTTGACGATTGGTCCTGTCTCTGCTATTTGGCTCATGCAGAATCCCCCCCTGGCTGCTTCAGAATGGCTTCCATAGTGCATGTCCGATAATGTCCTTAAAACAACCTTAAACGTTCTTTTTTTAAATATGCTACTCACCGGGTCGTCAGCGCTGTTCAATGACGTTCCAAAAAAAGTTTCGTGAAGAAAAACCGTTCCTGTCTTGTTTTATTTAGCATTTTGTAAATCCCAGAACTATTTTTTCCGATACATCACAACCGCTTATAAACTTGCGCTTCCCGTTCGAATCTGAAGCGTTGCACACTCCAGACCACTAGTTGGCGACAATGTCTCTAACCCTCTACCGTCAAACTCAAAGTCCAATATGTCCTCCTCAAGAATCCACCTTTCGTATTCCATTTTCAGAGTTTTTTAAAGTGTTTAACAGAGACGTTAGCACCTCGACGTCGGAGTACACAGAGTGAAGCAGAAACACTTGGGCCTTGCGAAAAGACTACAACTGTGTAAACAGGCCCCATTTCCGTTTCCGGTGGCGGAGGGATATTGACTATTCCAACAGAACTCAATGGGATTTACAAAATGCTAAATAAAACACTACAGGAACGTTTTTTCTTTACGAAACTTGTTTTTGAACGTCATTGAACAGCGTTGACGACTCGGTGAGTAGCATATTTAAAAAAAAGAACGTTTAAGGTTGTTTTAAGGACATTATCTGACATGCACTATGGAAGCCATTCTGAAGCAGCCAGGGGGGGATTCTGCATGAGCCAAATAGCCGAGACAGGACCAGTTGTCAAAATTTTACTGTCGATCATTCGATTTCATCCTGGACACTACAGAAAAGGGGCTAAAAGTGTTAAAAACCGGAATTTTCCTTTAAGTTTGGTCCCTCACAGGGATTTTCTTTTTATATTTATAATATTTAGTGGGACATATGTCTTCTTCTTTTGGGGGCCCTGGCCAGCAGGTCGGCGTATTTTTGGTGTCTTGATCCGGTTCCTCGAGCAAAGAGGCGCGAGAAAAACATCCACCGGCAGCAGCTGAGCAGCTGAGTGTAAAGCTGCTTGACAGCGATCTAAACCTCCTGTCAGCCAATCACACGGCGACAAAGTGATGCCTTTAGACAAACAGAAATTCAATCTGAGAAAACTTTAAACCAAAAAATTACTCCAATTATTTACTGGAAGTAGAACCGGGCTCACATTTATTCTCGTAGAAAAGTTATTAACATTTTACATTATATAGTTTAATGTTAGTTTATTTTTTTTACAATTAGTGGTAAAAATAAGTCATTTTGATTCTTTTTCTTTATGTGCAAACGATTGCGACCTGGATGCATTTCTGGTTGTGGATCTTTAAACAAGATTGGGTAGTAAAACTGCTGTTTTTACCCACAACCAGGAAGAAAACAGTACTGTTGAGGCAGCATTTCCTGAAAAGTAGCCAATCACAGAAGGTTTACTTTCTCCAGTGGTTAGAAAATCCCTTTATTGTCCAACAATAAGGAAATTCTGGTTTTAACAGCAGCAAAACAATTATAGAAAAAAAAGTTACGACCCTCAAAGTGACAAAAATGGACAAAAGTGAGCAGAACAGGTCCACGTGTTAGAAGGAGAGAGGGAAAGCAACCTCAGAGTGCATATTGGGGCCTTTCATAATGAATCATCATGAGTAAAATGTTCAAAATGAACCAAAACTGCTCATATTGTTATTATTAGGATGACCTTCTGCATATGAGGCGTCTACTGAAGGTGACTAAATCCACAGGACTTTATTATTATTGTAGTAAAAGGCGGGACACAGATGCACTCCAGACTTTCCAGATTTGTATCCATGGAAAAATAATTAAAAACATTTAATATTTAGCATGAAACCCTAAAATTGGAAGCTATTTAGCAGGCATTGTAAAAAGGTTCAACAACACAACATGTACATCGATTAAACATGGGTTTAAGCATAAACTCGAACCTTTGCGATCTTTATGTGAACATCTAGAGGTATGTTTGTGTAAAACAGCACGGCACAACGGCAAAAATGCAAACCGTCAATTTATGGTGCTTATAAACCCCAAAGTTCATTTTCTTCTCCTTGAGGTTTTCTAACCTTCTATTCCCACAGTTGGCCTTTTTTTTTTTTTTTTACTTCCTTCCTTTCTTTCTTTCTTTCTTCTGCGCCCCACCCTTCTCTCTTTGTGCATACTGAGGCAGCAGGAGTAAAAAGTCTGCAGAAACTCTGCTGAGGTTAAATTCACAGAGCAGAGGAAAAACACAGGCTGAGTTCAGGTAGAAACGTTTCCTCTCCATGAACTTTGAATGAAAACCTGATTCAGGACAGATCCAGAAAACATCCCGTCTGATTGGAGAATGTTTTCGTCTCCTGCTCTGCCCAGGCTTTCACCTGGACTTCTGCCATCTTTCTACTCTTTTGGAGCTAAGCTCAAGTATTTCTGTAAAAGAAAAGGTGTTTTTCTCCCTTACACCAGCTAGCAGAAGCTATACTTTAAAATCACAATGATAAACGCAATGCTTTTTACCTGGCTCTGAAAGGGCATCTTTTTTCTGCAGTTTTAAATTTCTGCAATTTTATTATTTATTTCTAAAATCCCTCAGGCCTTTGGTGTCATCTTCCCTTTTTTTTCTGTGTGCCGGACAGGAAAGCATACCTAATGTAGGGATGCACGATATAATGATTTTGGCCGATATCCGATATGCCGATATTTTAAAACTCATGTAGCCGATAACCGATATCGATACCGA